CAAATTTTTATCTTAATAACACTAATTTTAAATCTCGTTTTGAGTTTGAATTTAGAAAATTTCCAGTAAAATTCTTATTTAAAATGTTTGAATTTTATTAAAATTCAACATGCATTCGGATTCTTAACTTTTGAACTTGAATTATTGTAGACGTATCAGTCTCATAGGTGATGATTTTCAAACTCAAAATTTTAGCTTTTGATTCCAGTTGTGGTGTGTAAAGATTAAAAAAATTTCGCCATTTAAATTTCCCTTTAGCATTCAAAAAATTGACTTCATAAATAAAAAATCCGATTTTTAATCTACACTGTAAAACCGACATAACCGGAAATCGTTAAAACTAAAAACCGCGGTGGTAAGAGCTTTAATTTTTTTTTTACATTTATAAGACTTTTTCCTAAACTTGTACTTATATGTGTCCACAGCTTGAAGAGAAATTGATTTCTATTTTATTTTTCACTGAAATATTATAGCAAAAGCTAAAGTCTGTTTTTTCTTTAAATGGAAATGTCAAACACTCTTAACGTTGATTTAATTTTAAAACAAAATCATTAAACGTCAACAAAAAAAAATCGTTTAAGAATATTTAGAGACGAAAACACAAAAACAAGAACAAAATCTGTACCGCCAACAGTTTTTTGGAAATTTTGAAAAAAGTTTGCAAGCAGAAGTCTGAAAAAGACCAAAGACGCAATTTGTAATGCAGGTTTGTTAATTTTTAGCAAGAAATTGACAGGAATACGAAGTAAACATGAATGAGAAAGAAATTAGTAGATCTGGTTACACCGTTTTTAAAGAAGGACTTGAAAAAGTAACAATTTTGAAACTAAAGCCGAAAGAGAATTTAGAAAATGCAACATCTTTAAGCTCATTTCAATAAATTACACAAAATTTATTGACATTGTTCATAATACTTGCTTGTATCTTTTGCAAAATATTTTTTTTCTGTCTAGACACCCTTTTTCATTAAAGTTGTTGTAACAAGAAGCACATTTTCCCTACAACATTGTACTTACTAGCAGTCTGTTTCTATCAATATTATTAGCACGGAATTCTGCCTTTAGACATAACCATGATTTTTTAACAAAATTTCTAGCAAATTAAATTTGTGTCTATGGAGCTGCTACCAATTTTTTCATCAAAATTCTGACTTGGTGATGGAAAATAAAATACAGACTTTACGTTGTAATTACTTGGTTATTTTTACGGTTGGTGCCACAGCACTAGTCCCGGCACGTATTTTTTATTATTCAAATGACCCAATACGCATCTTGTTTAATAGTCAATACCGTTGCAAGTCAGAGGTTAGTCATTGTTCTACGTTTTTCTGCAATGATTTTGAAACGCATTAGCTGACCGTTTCGTGTAATTACCAATTACTTTTTATTAGCTAAAAATCCATTGAAGACAAGTCTAGGCAAAAGTTTATGTAAATCAATAGTGATTATTCTACGGAAAACCGGCTCCAGCATACGTCTTATGGGAAATTTCCCTGAAGAATTTCTTTCATAATGTGAACCGACATTTGAAGTACTTCCATCATTAATCCATCTTTATGTAATTATCGTCAATTTGTTTAGAGCAGTCTAGTATCTTTATAGTACGAATTTGCGAATCTATTGAGTAGTTAATTCCCGATTATGGAAACGCGCCTCAAGAATCTGGTTGTTTCTCATCGGTGAAGAACAAACGAACACATTTAACTGCAAATTGTATTGCGATCGCAACTACTGGGAATCGAACTGTTTCGTTCATAGCCGAGAAACAATAAACGGCCTATTAAAACACTTACAATATAATAAATGAAGTTTGCAATAATTAACATCATACCTTATGCGGTACTGCCGTTATATCCAGTTCTTTATCATCGTCAAGTCCGGCCGGCTTGTTCGACATCGGCTTGCTGTCGCCGAGTTGAGCGTTCAGCGACATCTTCACTGAAGATATCCCATCGACACCTCCCTCGTTTATCACATCTTCATACAACACATCTGGATCTTCGTTCTTCTCTCCGAGTTTATCATCTTTCCGGTCCAAAGACCCCAAATAGGCCTCTGAGTCAACATCGCCTTTCTCCGGCTGGATCTGGCAATGGTCCAGACACCCATGTCGGCAAATCTCAACTTTGCACTTGATGTGGACACTAAGAGCATCCGGGAATTTGAAAGCGTGAAAAAAGGCATAAGTGATGACAGAGGCTCTCTCATCAGCACCTCGAGCTTTGAGGAAACGACTTATCATTTTTGGGCGAAGAACACACCCAAATTCATCCGATAACTGAATCACGTGACCTCCACCATCAGACGCGACGCACGATTTGACCCGCATGTCAAATTCTCCTAAAAAACGAAAGTTAGAAGGAAGTGGGGGAAGAGGGTGTTGGTACCTCTGTAATCATTAATGGCCACTACAAGGGTCAAGGTTGATCCTAATGGGACTATTCCACTGACTGGTGGTGCCCATGGTCCTTTCCCGTGTTGGATTTCCATCCAACAATCGACATTGTCACCTAGACCAAGGAGAATAATCGTGCTTGAATTGGTTGTACCAACTCACCTCTGAAGTCCAATTGGACTACGTCCAAGTCCGCAATGACCATGGGGGGTTTGGAGGCTGTTTTTTCGTAGTCATTGAACCACTCACATCTCAGTCTTTTCGCCTCGTCCCACACTTCTAACAAGTCTTTATCATATTGCACTACCACCGTGTTTTCGTAAAACTGTCCGTGTAAATCCGGTTTGGTTCCGCATCGGGCATACGCGATTCGAAACGAGAAGAAGGTTTGTCCGGTCGAAGGAGGCACATAGACACAGCGGGGGTCTCCGTGCTGTCCTTTCGACGAGACGATGCCTTCAAAAGGCTGCGAGAAAGTCAAGTGGACGTCCATGTGGTCCTTCCCGCACATGACCTCAAGGGACTGGATGGAAGGCATGCCGTCGGGACGGTCCAGAGGCCAAAGATCGCCGGCTCCGTCCACGACATTGATCAGCTGAAAGAAGAAAGTCAACAATGAAGCGGAATTCAGCTGCAGTACTGTGTAATTATCGATAAGTTTTCTTTGAATGGAGAGGAGAAAAAAATCGATATATGGTCGTGCGAAGGTAATTTATGGCTACAACGGATAGACAAATGTCCAGTGGATCTACGTGTTGTAATGTGTGGGAATGAGTCTGATGGGCGCACAAAGCTGCGAAACGGGTCAAGAACCCGCCGGCTACCAAGCCTGGCCACTATTAGCATTACTAATACCGCCGCGGCATCTCCAAACGTGAATGCTCTACAGGTTTTGACACAATTTCAAGCATTGCGCAACACCAGTTGGAAAGATTTGAACATCTCAAACGCTATTTAGGAATCACAAACAGAAAGAAAACGAATTTGACTGAATTTGCTTGTTGATTGTTCTTAAGAGACTAGCTACCAGCAATTACAAGCACAAGAAGCAAGCAGAAAACTTTTATTTGGTTGCATTTACAAGTTTGTACCATGATACACGCCAACTATCAAGAGTCTGAATTATTGTTCTTTCATTTCTAATTTCAAAATCAAAATATATCGATAGTGAAACATTTTTTATGGTCATAATCACACTTGGGTTCCACAGGTGTTGTTTAGTGACTTTCAGGGTCCATGGGCCGACTGAAAATTCGAAATCAATAATAGTTTCAATCGTCTGTTTTCATATTACTCAGTTCGTGATAAAAAATGTACTCGTAAATAGTAGTTTCTTATTTCGTTCATAAAAATTTAAGGGAGCAAATTAAATGCACAGTATATTATTTAAACGACAAGTATTTTTGATCAGTAAAAATAATAAATGCACAGTAAAAGAAATGAATGTCTTGTAAAACTAATTAATTTCTTTCCAACCTTAATTATGGTCTCATTATTTATTATTATACAAAATTCGTGCTCTCGTTTTATTTACAAATTAAGAAAATCAAAGAACTTGGTTGGCTGCCGGTAGACCTAATATACAATTATTGCTTGCCAGTGTTCATATATAAAATGTTTTTTACATCTTCACCACCCTGTCTCCGTGAAATATTTCATTCGAGGAAAAGTTGTCATCAACTTTCTGTTCGAAATATTGCTGTCCTGTCATTACCAAAGTTTAAAACAGCAATATTTAAAAGATCTCTCTCCCACAATACAATAAAGTTATACAATTCTTCTCATTTGTTTAAAGAAAAACTTTCAGTGAACAATTTTCGCAAAAAGAGAAAAATACATTTTTTGTACTTCTAGTTTTTCACTTTTGCTTTTTGTTATTTTCTTATTGTTATAATTCCCGTTATTTCTACTTAAATAGTTTTTCTTAATTTTAGTTAAACTTTAATGCAATTTTTCATTTTTCTTTTTTTTATTTTGTTAAGGGGGTTAAGTATGAATAGTAGATGTTAGACTTCGCCTCCCGAGTTGTATTTACTTATACTTATAATTTAATAAAGCCGCTTTATTATTATTATTATTAATATTCACACAAAATTGTACGCTGATTAGACTGATTACCATTTGTGCACAGTTTTCAGCCCTTGCTAAAATCATTCTTGCGCAGGGGCCCTTGCTAATGCATATACCACCCTACAACAATAATACATAACATTCTTGTGCAGGGGCCATTCATCATTATGTAACCAAGACTGAAAATTTCTTAAATTTTATTTATGTTATTTTATTAATTTAGATTAAAGGTGCTGAGCGTTTATTATTTTTACTTTGGAAATTGGATTTTTTTACTGAACATCCTGAACAAATTACAATAAGATACTGTGCGTGCTTTACTTAGCATTTATTATTTTTACTGTGCAAAATGTTATATTATATTGATCATTTTTAAATTTTTACTGAGCAAAAATTAATTATACTTATCAAAATTGAATTATTTACTGATCGCTTTATTACTACCCATAAATGATCGGTTACGTAAGTATTGAAATCCGAGAAAAAATTAACATTGAAACACATTTTAATTTTTTTTTAAACTTACATTGTTTTTAATTCATGTTTTCGTTATTTTTTATGGTATGATTTTATTAACGAGCAAAACTTTTTCAAAAAAAGATTAATAAATTAAAAATTTAACAATTTTTTTTGATACTTGCATTTATAAATTATAAAACTTGTAGTACCGTGCAAAAATCTTTATTTTTTGCGTACCAACAAAAGTTGCATTTTTTTTAGTAAGTGTAGATTTCTGATAAACAATATTATAATTAATTGTAATAATTATAATAAACTGGATTTATTCAAAATTATTTTTGTAAGAACTAACCGTTTTATGTGATCCACCGATCTAAATCGGTGAAAACCAATAACTGAGAAAAATGTCACTTACTTATAACATGAATGAATAATTGCGTTGAACACTCAAATGTTACGGATTGCACAAAGCTGAAAAGATCTTATAGACCTAATTATAAATTTAATAATAATAATAATAATGAGTGGTTATCCAAAACATTAAACTTTGAACAAAAAAATCAAACTATTTTTTTTTTAGTAAATACCAAAACCTTAGAAATTAATTACACACATCACATCACATATAATTTTTAAACCCAATTGTCGAATTTGCAACGGTGGTTTTTGCAATAATTCAAGATTGCAAAAATGCAAAATGTAGTGTAGGTTGATTTTTAGTGTATTGTTTGGTTGTTGTCAAAATAAGTGAATATGTGCATCTTAAGTATGGATGTGTCTATGAAGAAGGCAACTATTAGAAATTGTTATGTATCGTTCAGTTTAATAACCAATAAATTTTCTCGACTTTCGTACGAGGATAAGTTATATAAGTTATAAATTATATAATTTCTACCTCCCTGAGAGGTTTTATACATTTTTATTGTAATTTTGACAGATGAGGGAGGTAATTGGGCACTTTCCTTTCTGAAATTAGGGTGAAAAAAACTTACTTTCTCTTAAGGTCATAGGAAAATCAGTTATTAATATAGTTTTGGTATATTAAATATGAGTGGTTAACTAGGAGCAAAACAAAAAAATATTATTTTGGCCATGTTCAAGTCGTGGTGAGGAAGCATGGTCTAAAACTGTGGTATGACAACTTAAGAAAAAAAATACCAAGTGTAATAGAAAGACACACTTAAAGGCAAGAACATATGGATGTGTGGCAAATAACATTTCCAGGGTCGATCTTTGTATTTTTTTTTTCTGTTAAAAGTTAACTTTTCGTGGTCAGTAAACCACAGAATCATTTTTTAGTATCATTTTTTAGTCGTCAAGTATATGTTATGTGTAGATACACGTATATTTCTATTTTTTTTATATAAAAAAAGAAATGCCTCCTCTTTTAACATATTGCATTTCTATTCACCTATTCACTAAATTGGAATCCGAGCTATTTGTAGCATTTACAGATTCAATGTAATGTAAATGTATCAGAAAATCTCCAACAGAGCGTATGAGCAAATTGTTTTTACTCGTGTAACTTACTTAAAAACCAATATGTGCGATGCTAACAGGATTTACAATTGATATTCATCGCTGATATTTAAATTGTGCTCAATCACCGTATTGACGAATCGCATACCATATACCGTTCCAAGTTCCAACAAACGAGGGAAATGTAGTTAGTGTCTCCAGTTCTCTAGGACCATTAAGATTTTCTACTTTGATGAGTGCTGAAGAGCTTCCGCGTCAGTTGGATATTATTTACAAATAATTATCGTGGTTGCAATATGCCGCCAGTTGCAATAGCAATTCGAGTCTCGAAAGACACAAATTTTTCTCGCGGCCCGTATTTACATCATATTAAAATGCCTTCCCCACCGCACCATATAATTATTAAAGATTACTAAATTGCAGGCAAGCAAAATGGTGTAAACCAGATAATCACCATATAATCTCAGATAGAAGAGATGTACAAGTCCGGTTAATGACCGGTTTGGAGCGTTTCATTGTCAATATGGGTGGAAAAGTCTGAATATCCCTGTGTAAACCATAAACATGAGAACGAAATAGAGCGAACGGTATTCGTAACGTGCGAGTTCATGATCAGACGGCGTGGCGTTGTTAAGTAATGAGGAGAGCATTAATTTATGGTGGCACGTCATTGGCCGGACGGAGAGCGGACCGCGGACTAAACACAACCGATTGAAAAAGAAGGCGAGCTTTGTGCTAATGAGCTTGGCACACTTGAATATCTTAATTAAAAAAGTCATTAAATATTTAAGAAATAATTGAGCCGAGCCGACACAAAAAGTGGTCTTTAATATAATCAAACAAGGATGACTTGGAACTTCACTATTTACCTCCGATTGTATTACATTTCCATATTTTAGACGCTAATTAGCTACACAGAACCAAAGCCCGGCTCGGACATCAACTCTTTGCTAAAAAAATTACAAACCGACCTTGATACGAAAAGGACTACAAGATTGGTCCAGAAACACCTCATTGGGGGACTCCAAGCAAACCTCACACACAAGCAACTATCTGGTCGAACTCCAAAACAATTTGTAAATTTTTACATACTTCTGCGTTTTTTTAAATCACGTTGGTCAAGTGAAAAGCATAATAACAAATAATATAAACAAAGAAATGTTTTAAGTCAGTTCTCACTCTCTGTTATTTTATCAAGTCATGCATTCAAAAATGAAACGTTAAATTCTTAAATTATTGGTCCAAATTAGTGTGAATTTCATATTTAAAATATTTGCCTAATTTGTAACTAAAAATTTTGGGTTAGTCGGAATTTAAGTTTGAAATGTTGAAAAATAGAAGAATTTTTAGTTTGAATTTCACAGTACTACGATTAGAGATTGAATTCAGTCGAGTTAAGTTTAAAAGCTATATTTTGTTTAGAAAAAGCATACTTTCCAATTTCCCAAGAGACCCTGACATGGGGATTTTTCCCTGACATGGGGATTTTTTTATTTTTCACAAACTCGTCCTTCTACCGTGAATATCATCTCATTTAAATTTCAAGCTCAAGACCGTAAACACCCTATATGTCTCAAATACGATATTTTTGAAAATAGTTTATGTAATCTAGATACTTTAATCTAGGTCATAATTTGAAAAACTAAACTAATTGTAGGTATTTAAAGTAGTTAGTTAACTTAATCTAGATCGTTTGAATGTACGTTAATGAAAAAATTGGAAAACCTTTTTTATTTCTAAAATAAACCCCTTTTCAGTTTAATTTACTTTCAAAACAATTTTTCAAAATTGTATTCTGACCAAAAAAATCAGGTTTTTCCACCTTTGTCGGAACCTCAAAAACAAAACGTGGATCACAAAAACGGTTAAAGTTCTTTCAAAAATACTTTTAAATAATTCCAGTTTATTTGTAATATTGTTTATCAGAAATCAACACTTACTAAAAAAACTGTAACCTTTGTTGGTAGGCAAAAATTAAGATTTTCGCCCGGTACTACAAGTTTTATAATTTGTAAATTATCAAAAAAAAAATAGTTAAATTTTTAATTTGTTAGTCTTTCTCTAAAAAAATTTTGCTCATTAAAAACTCATACCATAAAAAATAAAGAAAACATAAGTTAAAAACAATATAAATTCAAAAAATTTTAAAATGAGTTTCAATTTTAGTTTTTTATCGGATTTGTACCTATTCTTACCAAAAAATTCAGGTTTTTCCACCTTTGTCGGAACCTCAAAAACAATTCATGGATCACAAAAAACAGTTAAATTTCTCAAAATAGGGTAAACTCGGGATATATGCCCCCCAAAACTAATTTTTCTTCAACAGACAATTTAACTTATTTTACTAAATTAAGACTTTTTTATTTTAATTTTGCTCTTAATTTAGACGTCATTTTATACTGATTAAAATTTTTTAAACCTTTTTTAAAGTTATAAAAGTCATTTTTGTGCAATCTTTAAAATGGCCAACTATCCGGCATTAAGGTATAGTTGCCTTTGATGTATGGGATTAACGCCACTTTGTGGGATAGTAGGCATATTTACTTAAACAAAAGTATTTATTTTAAATTTTGAAGTAAAAAATTATTAAAAAAATATTTTAAACTTAGAAATTTGATTTTTACATTTTTAGTAGGTATACATAAAAGTAACAAAAATAACTAAATTCTTTTTTTGCACTTTTTTTCCAATCGCTTAAATTTTCTTCTGCATTCATTACATCTGGGATCATACATTGTACCTACACGTTTCATGTAGCCAATGACTGCAATCTACACATTTAATCCAATCACTTCTTTAAGTTGTACTATAGTAGTCCTCCAAACATTCAGCACATTTTGCGTCTTCATCGGAACTACTCGCATTTTCTTGATCCTTTATGACACCTTTCTTTTTTAGTTTTTTTTTTTAGCTTTTTTGTCTTCAACTTTTCTAATGGTATTTTTCATTAAGGTTTCTGTCTTCTGTGTTATACACTTTTTGACTCTGAGTTTATCACTTTTTGTTAGAATAGTAGCAGATCTTTTTCGTTTACTTTTTGTAACAGGAATTTTCGGAACTGGTGCAAGATTTTCTAAAATTTTTGAAGGTGTTGGTACTTCTATGATATTTTCAGATACCACCTGTTGGTCAAAGTCATGTTCAGGTGAATGATGTATGTACTACATTAACAACATTATTTGACATATTATTAAAGTTTATGTCTTTTAACAGAGAGTTATCTTCCGCAAATATGTAATTTTCATCAAGTTCAAAAAAACCAGAAGGCATATCACTAATATTAATAATTTCACAACTGTTATCAACAAAATTTTTCGATTTTTTCTCAGCACATTCCTTTGGCTCGAGCAACTGAGAGGCCTTCACTTTGTCTAACCGATAATTCAGGATGTCTTTCCATAAGCTCGGGGCTTACAATTTGGCTTCCGAACGTATTTTCGTGGCATTTTGTCACTCTAGAAGAGAAAAACACTACATGTTTAGTAACGGCGTATATCCCATAATTTGAGAGGGCATATATCCTCACTGTTGGGGATAGATGCCCTTCTAAATAACTATGTCAAACATTGAAAAAGCGCAAATATAACGTCAAAAAAGGAGTAAAAAAAAACATTAGTTTTGCAACAAAACAACCGATATGCTAAAATTATGTGTTTGAATTAGTTAAAACCAAAATTTCATTTCTACAATCCCAACGTTCAAGTACCGGTTTAAAAAGTACTTACCTTTAATGCCAGATACACGAATGACAGAAGCAAGAAAACTGTCCAGGTTTTGTCTAACATCTAAAATTTAAAATACCAAAAATTGGATGGCCAAACTGCAGAAAAGCTACTGCAAACGCGCAATTTTTAAATAAGTGGCCATATATCCCAAGGGGGCATCTATACCAAGTTTACCCTATGCTCTTGAATAAGTCCAGTTTATTTGTAATTGTTTATCAGAAATCTACACTTACTAAGCAAACTAAACCTTTGTTGGTACGCAAAAATAGATACTAATGATTTTCGCACGGTTCTACAAGTTTTATAATTTGTAAATGCAAGTTAAATTTTTAATTTCTAAGTTTTCTTTTGAAAAATTCTTGCTGTAATGTTTATCCCGAAGACTTTGTTGGCACCTTAAAAAATCATATCATGGAAAATAAAGAAAACATAAATTAAAAACAAAATATGAATTCAAAAATTTTCAAAATGTATTTAAATTTTGTTTTGAATCTTTGTAACCGGTATTATTTATATAGTTAAGTTCAATTTTTGTAGTAATCTAAGATATAATTTCTTAATCGGCTCGAGATGGGCGATGCAATTTGAATGATTCAGTTTAAGTGCTTCGCAATTGGTGCACGAAAAAGCCGCCAGCTTTGTCGTTTTATCTTGGGGAAGTCATTCTGACCTTTGCCAATCCTCCTTGGGGTGCGTTTTACCGTTTTAATGTTATTGTCGTTTGTGACACTTCGTCCAAGGTTAGGAATGCCGTTGAAGAGGTCGTCAGTATTAGCATTGTTGGGCAAGTGTCGAGGTCAATGGTCAAAGCCGGACAGTTATGGAGGAAACAATCACAAAGTTTGGCAGCGAACTAATGAGTAGAAGTCACCAGAGTGGCACTAATAACATCGCTTATTATGAATCGTCTTAAAGGCCAGCGACTCTGACAGTTATAACAGCTGTTGTGCGAATGTATTGTAAGTGCACTCTCTCGCAATCATCTCTTTATGGTGGATGCTTTTATTAATTAGTAAAATTGTATTAATCAGTGATTTACTCGCCTCGATCGGCTTTACTGTTAACTTAGATTGAAACCAGATCTTGACCTGTCTTCATTACACTTGAAAGTTGAGGAAAGATGAGTGTTGGCTTTGCTACTGGTGCAAGGCGCCAGATTGCATTCCACCAACTGCAAAAATCTCGAATACATCAATTATTTCAACTTTTTACATTCCCACGATAAGACTCTTATTCTGATTTGTTGAATAAGCCGAATACCGTTAGGTGCGTAGGAACGCTTGGACATGTTAAAGGTCGCCAATTAATGCTTCAGGTTCACATCATGACTTATAAACATTTTTACACGTTAATGTCAAAGGAAAAACCATAATCCGCACAACGATACCGATCTAGCAACAAGGGGACACGTGTGGACCTCTGCGGGACGACGAAAGTGACCATTTTCTGACCTGTGTGAACACCTGTGTGTGGGTTTGTTCCGGCTTAAAAAATTCAATCAAAAATTTGATTCGCTTTGGAGGATAGTAGTAGTTGACTTTAGCTTATTAAGCTGTAAACCTTGACCTGATGTAACAAGTGTCTGCGTGATGTTTTAAATTCAAGGTAGGCACTTACCAATAAAATAAAAGAAAAACACCAAATCACAGGCAGGAGTAGAAGTCGCCTAAGGTGGCGTGGTGGGCTCAGCATTTTTCCGTGGCCCTGTAATAAATAACACTCAATTAACAAAAATAAAATGCCAATTGTGACTTTTAAATCAGAAATTTTGATGAGAGTTGAACTTTTAATCTCAAAAATCACGCTTTTTCGCGCTGTTGCTTAACAAATCCAACATTCTGACTTTTTAGAAATTTTTAAGAAAAGTGAAGTTAAAATTCGACTTTGAACTCAAAATTTAGACTTTCTGACAATTTCAACATACAAATCCAACATTCTCACTTCTTGGTTTCAAATTTTTAAGAAAAGCAAAATCAAAAGTCGCGTTTTAAATTCGAGTTTAAACTCAGAATTTAGACTTCCTCAAAAAAATTTTAACATACCTACAAATCAAAAGTCGCATTTTAAATTCGACTTTAGACACAAAATTTAGACTTCCTGACAACAATTTCAACATACAAAACCAACATTCTGACTTCTTGGTTTGAA